TGCAAACAGCTGCGCCAACAGATATGGAAATGCATCCGACCCCAGTCACTCTGCCTTATCTTCGAACTGAATGCTCCCACACTATGGTGAGTTTTGTGGTTCTCGATTTTGCTTCCTCCGGTTGCGCGTGTGGTTGTGTGCTGTGTCTCTGTTGTGATTGTGTTTATGGTTGTGTGTTTGTGGTTTTGTGTTGTGGTTGTGGTTGTGGTTGTGGTTGCGTTTGTGATTGCGTTTGTGGCTGTGCTTGTGGTTGCGTCTTTGTCGTTGTGGCTGTGGTTGTGTTTGTGGTTCTGTGCTTGTCATACGTGTTTGTGATTGTGTTTATGGTTGTGTGTTTGTGTTTGTGTGTTGTGGTTGTGTTGTGGTTGTGTTTGTGATTGTGTTTGTGACTCTGTGTTTGTGATTGTGTCTTTGTGGTTGTGCTTGTGGCTGCGTCTTTGTCGTTGTAGCTGTGGTTGTGATTGTCGTTCTGTGCTTGTCATTCGTGTTTGTGATTGTGTTTATGGTTGTGTGTTTGTGGTTGTGTTTGTGCTTGTGATTGTGGTTGTGGTTGTGTGCTGTGCTTGAGGTCCGGCAGGGAACTCTTGGGCCTGGAGCTCGCGGTTGAGGTCCGGCAGAGAACACTGGGCGCGGATGGTCGTGGTTGAGGTCCGGCAGGGAACACTGGGCGCGGACGGTCGCAGTTGAGGTCAGGTGGGGAACACTTCGGTCTGGAGCTTGCAGTTGAGGTCCGGCAGGGAACACTGGGCGCGGATGGTCGTGGTTGAGGTCCGGCAGGGAACACTGGGCGTGGATGGTCGCGGTTGAGGTCCGGCGGAGGAGGCGGAGGAGGAGGCGGAGGCGGAGGACGAGGAGGAGGCGGAGATGGGGCTGACGTAAAATCTAACAACCCTCACCTGACAGGTGGGGAAAAATGCCCCTCCATCACTCAGAATCACGGTGTTTCGTTTTTGTTTATATCATTCCCTCTTCGTTTCATAACTTGGAATCACGGTTTATCCTTTAAAAAAAAAATCTAAATAAAGTGTACCCTAAATAAAGCTAAAGATTTGCCAAAAAAAGATTTCCCTTTCATCTCAATTCCAGGAACCTCTCCCCAATATGAATCTCCCTGTCATTTCCTTTTGGGAATCCGGTGATAAACTTTTATGAGTGTTTCGTGGCCGGGGGGTCCTCTGTTTATTATTCAGAGGTCCATATTACCTGCGAGAACGTTTTTGAAAGCGGATCAAATCGCCGAGGCTCTGGAGAAAGGCTTGGCAAATCCTGGGAGGGGTCGAGACGAGGGTTCTCAGGGGCCGAAGTCCGAACCGCCAGTCTGAGGAATGTGTTTAAGGAAGGTGGGCCGAGAAGTCGTCGTATCTCTGCTAGGTATTCTGTATCAGGTCACTTCTGTGCAGTTCGTCACATGCGGTACCCGGTTGCCAGCCATGCGGTACCCTGTCAGAGCGATTAGGGACTCGTGCTCACATGCTTTCCCCGTGACCGTTGTCTCACCAGCCCGCCACTAATTGGAACAGCTCCAGTAGTCAAAAATATCTGACAGAATCTGACACTTGTAAAGTTGCCTGTTTGCCCTCTACTTCTCTACATTGTGTTTCATTAAAAAGGATAAAGAAAAAACAATACAACACCCTCCAATCATTGAATCATACGCTGGCCGAGTGTCGGTATGCTTTGGGGCACAATCCTCAAGTCGCCCTTGAGAGCAATGCCTTGGCTCTCCAGGCTATTTGAAAAGTTTTGCCATGACAACAAGAGAGCAAAAAAATGTTTGTTTAGCCCGCTCCTACTTAATTAAGTAGGCGACCACATAACTACGTAAGCGAAAGTTCGCTCCTAGCTACTTAAGCTACTCCATATGGACGCAGACTTATGTTCATTGTCCAGACAGGTTCTGCTGCTATTTTAATGGTCTATGACTGCCATGTATTCTGCTGCAAGACTACAGAAACTCTGACATGATCTGCCATGCAATTGGATTGCGCTTCCTGCTTTGGAAATCTCAAACACTGCAAAAGTGTTTGAGAGCATTCAAAAGCGAAAGTGCATCGTGACATTTCTGTAATTATGCAAGGTGCTATTAAAGATTGTCTTCCCGCAGTCCAAGCCAACATATACAGTGAAGAGCCTGCAGTTGGTCAGGGAGTTCTTGCAATGCCGTGAGTGCGCCCTGTGGGCGAACACAGGGGCGTGTCACCAGAACTAAATTGACGATACATCCACCAGGACCAGGACCCAATCCTACCGCCACGCGCTGGCCAACTTGCTTTCAAATAATTTCATCTAGTAGCCCAACTTGTATGAAAAGGCCCAAGGAAGAGCGGAGCCACATGAGTTGCCCGGGCACCTCACGGGAAAAAGCCAGTGACAGATCCAACATCGAAAGTATCTTGACCAATACACAGACATCTCCAATATGTGTCCAAGCAATGAGCATCAATGAGCAATGTGTGTCGACCTGCTGCTGCAGCTCCTGCACATAGCCGGCGTCAAGTAAGGTGTCTCTCTTCCTGACGCATGTCTGACGGCTCGCAATGGCAAATGGCCTTTCTTGCAATTCCCCACGACACAGAAAGCCCGGATGAATCTGCTTTTTCCCTCGCGAATCGAATCGGTGTGCGGAATTTTTTGAGCTGGTTGCGTGTCAAGGGTCACCTTCTCAAAGGAGTTGCGCACCACATCCGAAAGCGGCTCCCTGGGCCTAAAGAAGTTCTCTCATCGGCATGTCTTGAGTTTTCCAGAAAAATGTCGTGTTCATGTGAAAGGATCGGACAGCAAGTACCTCTTTCTCACGTCCAAGTAGCTCTTTATGGTGCCCATGTGGCCGGTCCATCGCCTGTCAGAGTGAGGAAAGAAGCAAATTCCAGGGTGACAATTAGAATATGGAGGATATATAAATATATGATATGACATGTACAGTCTGGAGCTTGATGGTGCGGCGCCAATCATTTTTTTGAATGCTTTCCAACATCATTGCGCCGTATTCTAACTGCATGTTCATATTCTAACTTCATGCAGGCTAGAAAACCCTACTACTCGAAGATGTCCTTAGGTATCTAAGGAAAATTCAATGGTTTCATATTCTAACTGTTGGTCCCCCATAGTAGCTGGGTGGACGCAGCGTGGAGTTCTTCACTTGCAGCTGTGTGCTGTGGCTTCTTTCAACTGGCTCCGATTGTTCTACAAGGTCAAGAAGCCACCTCAAAGTCGTCTCCAGCCACACTGCATCGCCCTCCTCCTGTCGAAGAAGCATTGAAGACACCTACACATGGGATTCCCCTTTTGCTCATCCCTCCTCCTTCTGCAATCTGTTCCTTGGTACAACGGAAGACATCTCCGCCTTTGATCAAACATCCAACATCCTCCGCGCATCATCGAAAAAAGTCATTGAGAAGCAAATAGAAGCAAGAACCCCCAGTCAATCAAGATTCATCCAAGTCTCTATCAAAGATCTGCGGTGCTCGGGAGCGCTCCCGCCTCTGTAGAGGTCAAGAGAAAGAAAAACAAATAATGGAAGAGATGACATGCATATAGAAATCAAAAGGTGTGCAACAAGTGTCCGACATGAGAGAATGACATGCTCATTTGTCATTCTCAATTAATTCCGTCTACCTGCTAAAGGTTGTCCACCATCCATGCCTGCGCCTGCGACATGCGACATCGGCATCTTCAGTGAAGTCTAAGCCAACCCTCTGCCAACTTCATTTAGTCTTCCCTAGCAACGTTGGCTTGTTGAAGAGAAAAGTAGGACAGCTCGCAAACGCTCCTGCAAATGATGTCCGCATGATTGATGTATATCGATATCCATTCCAAGAGTGCATGTAGAGAGCTGGCGAAAGGAATATTGTGAAGACACACAGTCTTGCAATGGAGTTGTGAGGAATGATTCATGTTTTGAATCAAAAGAACAACATGCTGGCCTGCGGACCCGGCAAGGGCTGGCGAAACAATGCCACTACGTTTCACTGAGACATGCTCTCGGTTCTATGCTGCTTCTATGTTGTTCTATGTCTAGCCAGTCTAGCTGATTAGAAAGCTGCTACAGTGGGAGTCTTTGAGTCTAGCCTGTCCAATGTGCTGAGCTTTGGAATTGCTTCAGTTCCCACTCGGTTCTGTGTCGGCCGACGAAACACCCGAGATCCCAACAAGTCATTGACGTGAAACACATGGAGTCTGCCCGAGATCCCAACAAAGACCAGGCAAAATCCATGACTTCGGCTGGGATCCCAGTCCTCTTGGTACCTTGCACGAGACGAGTCGAGGACTCTTTGGATTCGATGCTTTTCGGTCTCACGAGTCATCGACACGTTTTTCTGGTCACTGTGACACGTCTGATGCAAAGGAAGAACCAGTGACACCTGAGAGGAAGTGTTCGCGAAGAATATAGATAGAGCTGAGTTTAATTAAGTTACACAGACTTCCGCAAAGATCAACAAGAGGGAAGCACCTTTGACCATTGCATGGTGGATCCTACCTCAAACCTTCAGCTGACCCCGTAAGACCAGCTGGGAGGCGTACTTCAGCAGCATACTGAAGCAGGGTGAAACAAACAAATGTTCAACGGAAAAAGGGGCAGCAAAAAGCCGAATGCTGCACGTATGTCCTTCCCCAGAAGGACCCACCTCCAACCACCGATCACATGGAGCTGCACGCCAGGGTTAGGTGAAAATACAAATCAATACAAATCATCTGCAGGAAGTTTTGCTTCTTTTGCTCCCTCGCTCCTGGCCGTACTACTAGGAGCAAGGACGCTACTAGGGGCTCCCTTTGATCAAACATTCCGATTTCGGACCCCACGCTTCGGCACCGCGGTGAGGAATGTCCGAGTGCCTGGCACGCATGGCACGTTGGTGCCGTGTGAGTGCCCAGATGGCCAGATGGCACAAATTGAATTCGACTGGCAACCAACTCTCTGTAGCTTCTTGGCTCCGATACCAAATGATACCCAGCTCCGTCCTTCAAACACAACCAGCTAAAACCAGCTCCATTCAGCTTCTTTAGATTGAGGATCCAACAAAATCACCAGCCTGGGGGTTGTGCTGCCCCGATGACTCTGCTGGTTCTTCGGGCATTCACATTCGGGCGGGTTATCCCCATAGCAACTCACTTGACTTTACAGTGAATCTGTGTCGTGACCGCGGGAATTCCTGAATTCATCAATATTCATCATACGTATAAGCCTGTCATAAGTTTCCACGATACAAGCGCTGCCACGGCTGAGACTGAGGATACCAGGATCCTCATTGTGACGCGAGTGTGCTTTGTTCATCCCAAGCTTTTGATCACAAGGTGTTCCCATAGTACCGGTGCAAAAAGAAGCGAGAAGACGTGCTTGTTAAGTAGAACGGCTGAATGAAATGCCAGCCTCACCCTTCAAATGACTTCTGTGCAAAAGCACGCAGCATGGCTACCTGAAGTCAAGAGGTCCAATCCTGGATCCTTCCCCTGGAGTCTCCACCAAACACAAAAAAAGCAGTTTCTTCGAAGTGCACCTCAAGAGGTGAAGCAAAGCTTTCCCAGACCTACAGATCTGCACCAACGCGGTGTTAAACAACGATCGCATATCTGATGATGATGTGAAAAAAAACTCCAAAAATTGACCTGTACTGTTCAAAGAAAGCATCTACAAGAACCGCTGAGTTTGGGGAATGTGGTGCCAGTGTTTGCCCGGCTTCACCATGAGGCTTTGTCTGAGGCCCTGGCTGCTCTTCCACAGTCCTGCACTGGGGAGAACCTTGGCTCTGGATGGATTCTGTGGGTCCGTGGGGCGGGTTCCTTGCCGAGACCAAGCCTTTCCAACGCTTTGGTCCACCCCTTGATGCAATCCCAATGCTCATATAGCGTTCAAATGCGTTCAATATCTTTCAATTACAGCAGCACATCCGGTGAACGGGAAACTCAACAGTAGAGCGATGAGGGCTTCCGGGCCTTTTCAGCCTGGTACAGCGGTGGACGGAACCCCCGCTTCGAGTCGGAATGAGCTTCACCCCACTCGGCCCCGGTGCTCAAAGCCAGCAGCGCGCTGGACCCGAGGAAGTTCCTGCGCTCGTCGCTTCACTCGTCGCGAAGAAGTTACCTTCCGGACCGGGTCAGCTACGAGTGTGCATGAAGCTGCACAAGGTGCTGTCTGTCCTCCTCGCACGGAATATGCCAAATCCAGGGAACCTGTCGCTTTGCAAAGGCACCATCCAGTTGTCTGACCTTTCTTTTCTGGGCCAGCCGCGAAGTCTCCTTTGTGTCCCTCGCGAACCTGGTCTTTCCGAGGTGCCGACACTAGCATAGCGCTCAGCGATGCGCAGCATAGCTCTCAGCTTGCGACTTGAAGCAAATCAAATGAAGCTCGTTCACCTCAACAAATGGCCAAAGCCACCAGACGTTCAAACCGTCCACTGCTCAAATATGGCTCACATGCCCAGCCTTTGGAACGTTCATCCACCTCGAATGTACCGTCCCGTCTCAAAAGGGTCTGAAAGTGATTGGTGGTCAGAAATCACTAAAATGGCCTAAACCCCAAACAGTGAAAAGAAGCCACGAAAGAGAATCGGCCTTTCTTTGCACTCATGTTTGGGCAAAACCTGTTTGCAAAAAAACATGTGGGTCGTCGCGATCGGTCTCCAACATCCTGGGGTAGCTGTGGTCATTTGTTTCAGCTGCTCTCGCTGAGGTCAAATGCTGCTCTCCGCATCAGCTCCAGTGCCGCGGGGCATGTGCGCGTGCTCATGGCAGAAATGCAGGAAATGGGAATGGAAATGATGCCCGCAGGTGGCTGCTTCTCTTTGGTCTTCCCTGTATTTTTCCATAGACCCCCCAGACCAGAAGTGCAGAGTTTGGACCATTTTCTGAGGCCAAAGATCGAATTTGCTTCCTGCCCGCCATTGAGAGCGGGGGTTTGCCAACTGCTAGCTCCCACCCATGTGTGCATCTGGCTTGAAATGAACTTCTGCTTCATCTCTGGAAAGAGTTCTTTCCTGTCAAATTAGAAAAAAGAGATCGCTTTGTCTGACATTCAAGAAAGCAGCTTTGAACGAAAGTTTGCATGGCGACCCTGTAGAGCCTGAAAATGGAGAAATGTCAACAAAACCATTTGAGTATGGGGTCGGCATAGTGACTCAGCGATAGATTCACACTCAGGATCCAAGTGAAGTTCTTTTCTCGAGCACATTGACACGTGGCAAACGAAACAAGTACTTCCCTTCTGAACTCAGGGTTTCCATCTGAATTCGTTCCAGCATGGAAAGAGCGGCATTGATGCCAGTCACAGAAAGGCACTCAAATGTCGCTGTGAACCTACCAGCTGCAAAGGCTGTCGTTCACACTGAAAGGCCATCAACTACCTGCCCCCGCCTCTGCTGCATCTTAATAGCCCACGGCAAAGCCACTTTTCCAATGGAACCGGGAGGGTGGCAAGCGGCCAGGCAGACTGCGAGCAGGGGAAGCAATCAATCACTTCCAGTGACGTGGTAATCTCTGGGCTTCCTGGCGCAGGATTCTAGCCCTTGGACTGCCTCTGCTTTGGCCACATCTGCCTGCCAAACACGGTTATTCCCTTCGAAAATTGCTCGTGAGCATTGTCACCCCACCTGGGTTTGATTCTCAATGGCAATGATATCGTGCTGGTCCAAGATTCGTCTGGCCTGAACCAAAATCTCTGAACATCAGACGAATCGTATCGAATCGTCCATTTCATTGCAATGAGATCCTCCATCCGTCTCAGTTCATCCGCCTCCATGGACTCATTTGCAGCCTCCAGGGCAGCCTATGGACGTCCAGAACGAGCGGAACCGAACCGAAGGGTCCGTTCGTTCGGCTTAGAACTTGTATTTCCCATCCACCTCCGCAGATTCCTTTGAGAGCTCGTTGGCCCTCTCAGCATGTTTCCATGCCTGCAGCTTCTTGCAAAGCTGAGAAAGCATCAGACCCTACTGAGTCCCTACTGTATTCATATGATCCATATATATATATATCATATATATATAGTTCACTTATCCTACTATCAGTTTCATGCATTCAGCAGAACTGCTGGTTTGTAGCTTTAGCCCTCATGAAGCTGCGACCCTTCTCTGCAGTCATTCTATGGCCAGCTTCTACGGATGAATGCAAGATAGTTTGCTTGCAGAGTTGACTTCTTTTGTTGGTCTTCGCCATCTTGATGAGTCCTCCGGATTGCGACCTTCGCTCTGTTTTCCCCATCACCTTCGCTTGGGGCTTCTGCTCAAGTCCAAGGCGGACCCAGAGCCTCCCCTCCTTCTAGATCACATATGGAGGTCCGAAATGCTTTGCCCGGCACATGGAACTGACCGACACTTCCCCGGCCTCATGTATCGCATGCTCACGTGCCTCAGTACAGATGAGCGACGGCAGTCTCTTTCCTCAAACCGACCAAGTGGACAATGACCGTCCCAAAATGTCGAACACAAACCAAACCAGTTATAAACCGCAAATGTGTATATATATATATACCAAACATATAACCCGTTGTACCAGTAACTCAGTTTAAAAGTGCATGCAAACCAGTTGTTTAAGCCCATGTTTCTGCGCTTTGCGCAAAGCTGATGAGTTCCTCAGGCAGTATCAGAGTAGGCAAGTACGTCTGCTGAAGCTTCCTTGGACTCGTCCTGCCAAATCGTTTCTGAAGGGAACCCCTCCAGATTTACTCTGATTGATATTGTTCATGATGATGAACGACTCAGGACGTCTCGTCAGCGCACCTCAATGTCCTGCTCCTTCAGCCGCTCTTTTGCCTTGGAGCAAGGAAAACCTTCTCATCAGCTAACATGACCTATCTTCCCTGTCTTCATCTTGTAGCTCCAGCCGTTTTGAGGATGGGGCACATGCTTGCTCCAGATCAGGGCCTGTCTTCTCCTTCCAAGCAATCCAGAAAAACAAACACAACTCACAACTCCTCACAACTGGGTAATTTCCTAAATGCACAACTTCAACTTAAGAATGGAGGCTTTGCTTGGAAAGGGCCTCAAATGAAGTGAGCATTCTTCTTCGTGCCAAACCTGCCAAATGACAACATGATGCGTTATTCCAGCAGGGCCTTCACATGTTCGAAAGCTTGCCATTTCGTGCCTTCAGGAACTTGGCAAGTGTCGAAGGAGCGATCCTGACTTGCAAGAGAGCCAAGCCCGGCTAACGTTCGCGTCCATCAGGATCATCGAACATCATCAAACTATCGATGATATGGATGATGATCCAATATATATATATATGTATATTTGTTATTAATGTATACTATATGTATACCGTATATATATATATATATCCACCATCAAACATCAAACTATCCATGTCCAGCATCCATGGACAGTTTTTCCCACCTTCGACATGCAAAACGCCCACCTCACCCACGCCAAGGGAGGCGAAAGAGCTCAGCACGCGCGGCATGATGGTCACACGGGTCACCAAAACAAATGACCCGTGTCGGTCAGTGGTTCGTATCACACAGATTGTGGTATGTTCGACTGGCAATCTTTGGAGCCTTGGCATGGCTTGGCATTGCTTGGCCTACTTGGGCTGGGTGTTTTTGTTCCTTGATCCAGTGTTTCAAGCCTTCAAGGCTCGCCATTTCCACCTTGGGCCCACAGGAGTCCAGCTCCGTGAGACATGCTCATGCTGATCAACTCAGATGAGAAACCCAATAGCAAAGCATCAACCAAAGGGGTCGCACATCTACCAGTTTCCATCAAGACCCAAGAAAGGGGGTCAAGATCGTCAAGATACCACCCAAACACAATACTGTACAGTAGACTCCTGATTACAATAAAAAGCATTTGGATTGCAAAACCTCTTAGAGGTAGAGGTGCTACAAAAATGGAGGTGTTGCTATATATTAAAATATCATCAACAGTCAGTCTACATTAAGTTACGAGACAACGACCGTCGAACAGGCTGTCTGTTCGTCTTTGGAGGTGGCAAGTCACGTCCGGAAAGAACGGTTGGTCAATTTTCCATGCAATCGCTATCCCCTAGACTCTAGACCAAGCCTTGGGCTTGGAGATTCTCAAAATGCAACTCAGATGCTTGCTGTACCATTGCTCCACAGGCCATGATGAATCATGGTCTATCACTCAATAATTCAGTCTTGAGCATTTACGCACATCAAAAATTGCAATCCGGTGTATATATATATAGTGCTATGAGGTTTCAACCCACCTTTGACAGCAGCATCTGACCGAGCTGCCGGTTGCCGGCCACGTTTCGATGCATTAACAAGTGCTGCAAGAGACATGCAGACATGCTGCCTACGGCAGCCGCGGCAAACTTGGCCTAGCGGCTTCGACCTACATGACCGATCATGACGTGAGTGCCATGCTCTCATCACGATATTGCCTTCCTGATCTTCCTGGCAATTTCTCTTAGTAAGTTGGTGAAGTCCTCATCATTCCTTGGGCTCCGCTAGCAATTCACATGCATATGAGTCGTGTAGCCTTCACACTTTCTGGCTGACAATGTCGCACTCAGAAACATCATGCTTTCGAGCTGGAGCTAATACGAACGCGATGGTAGCAGGCCCTCAGCGAAGTCAGTGTGCCGCTGTCCGGTGCGAAAATCAAAGAAGTGGTAATCAACAAAACTTTTGTGGGTGTAGGTCAAAATCAAGGACCGCTCATCGACCCCAAAAGGAACAGATTTCTCTGGCCAATCTCCGCAAGCATGTTCATAAGATTTCATAGGCCGTTCTTTATGTTTTGTAATGTTCAGTTTTGACTCGACTTTGGATACACATCCAGCTGATTTTTTGATGGCCAATTTGACAAACTTGGAAAGCCAAAAGCATGGTTGCTGGGCCCAGCACGCACACAGCGGTACCTCTGTATCATACAGCCGCACCCCAGGCAAAATCCTCTCTTCGACCTGACATAAAAACTGTAGTGCCGAACCCGCCTGTTCGGAAACCCTCTGTCTGTCGAGGAAAGGCTAATAGCGATGGCCTTGTGCTGCAAACTTTAATCCCTTACATCTTCGCAACAAAGCAGCCTGCGATGTACCAGCATCCGGTGCCCTGTCTGTGGCTGATGGCGACGTGGGGCATGTCATGGCCCCGCTAGCCTGACAAAGCATTTGCGGGTGAGACATTTCGACACTCGCCATGAAACTGAAACGTTCGAGGTTTGGATACTGTGACAACACTCTAAAAAAACACATACATACATACTATACATACACACTCTGACAATTGTATTCAGTTAGCTCAATTCCCACGATGGGAAGGATGGCGGTGGAAC